AGAACTAAGAATTAATTATATCAAGAGTTATTATTTTAAAAAACCATCAGTATTTAAATTAGTACAGTTACTGAGTTCCACAAATACTAAAGAACTATGTAACCTAGGTAAATTTCTGTATTTTTCTTATCAATTAAGAAATGATGTTTTAAATAGTGTACAATAAGAAATGATAATACATTAAATGCTATTGTTTGTGTAATTGCCACATGTAATGTATATTGTATAGCATACACTACACTTATCCTGTGCAAAGCTTATGTATAAATATTTATGTACATATTTTGTATGCCTATATATGAGATGTAATGTCTCTGGTTCAAATAAAACATATTTCAATACTTTTTGGTTGGTTTGTAATTCATGAGAGGAGGAAAAATTCTGACTGAAACCATGCGCTTGCTGCCCATTATCTTGTCATTATTTCATACATGTACCCATCTACATGATTGTACATTGTGGTGGAGATATATAATTTATACGATAATGTCGACAGAGATTCGACTTGGCTGGATATTAATTTCGACTGATGCCTGTAGAATCTCAAGACAGTGATTCCTTAAACACTCAACTTTGGCCGGTTTTAGTTATTGATAATACACCTATAGGGGACACTGCCGTTCGCTTCAAATGTGTTATTTCAATGTTTAACTTACTCAATATTACTATTAAAACTGCAATGCTGCCTCTGTAGATACATAAATCCAAAAATAAAGAAAACAAGGACATTTTCTGATGGCTTCCGTGAAGTAATAAATTTTGTTTCTCCTATTTGAAGAGTACCTATTATAGTTTGTTTTTAATGGGAGTAAAACGTATTGTGCCTAATCTAATAGCAGACAATTACCTGAAAAAAAAGACTATAGCAACTCTTCAAATTAAGAGTTTCAAAAGTTATTACATGTACATCGAAATGTCAGGGTCCGTATTGAATTAGGTCCAAATTAACCATGCACCGTCGAAAGTAAACAAACATGGACGCCTGTTCAAACATGTAATGTTGAATAATTGAAATAGTTTTTAGTATTTTTAGCTTTCACAATATTTTCAGATTTCACTTTTAAATTCAATGTTTCTTACTTTCTAGTATGACTTTTAAAGTAGTTTCTTGATTATTTTACCGCATTATTGGCTATTTTCTTTTTACTTGATTATCCCATTAACCGATTATTCATGTAATTCGACGCATCGCTATCTCTGAAATCCATCCGGAGCAACTATCTACTTGTATACTATGGGCCTCTTTCTTTTGTTAGATATACTTGACGTAATTTTGTTTTTTAAATTCATCGTAACCATTTTCAAAAGAGATTGATATGAACTACTACATGTATTTTGCGGATGCATCGATTGACACCTTTAGTTGTCTAAATACCGATAGGGGATGATCCCTATTATGTCTTTCGAGCTCTTCTCGACGCCATGATAAATGAAATAGACCACTTTGGTATTTTTTTTAATAGGAAAATTAGTCCAAAAGTTAAAAAGAGACCATTTGACGACTGTCTCCCCTTTCTTAATTCTTAATTATGATTTTGGTGAAATAACTTTGATCATAACTAAATAATTAAAATTAATTAATTATAATTAATATTACTGGAAATGGATACATATATCTAAGTTCATTTCATTCTACAGATAAAATAGTTCTAAAAAAATTGTGTAATGTTTTCGTCTGTTTAGGAGTTATATATATTACATCGGAGCATCAATTAAATTTAAAAGTAATATGCAAAACTTCATTTACAAATAAAAATGACATAAAATTTATCATATACATGTAGAAATGACACAGCTCGTGTCACATTTAAACAATAGAAAACTATATATGAAAAAAAAAAATTCTGTGGTTTTGTTACTTAGTAAATTCTGAATTTGAAAATGTGAGCGATTGCATAGAACTGAAGTTTTCTTTGAAAACATACAAAAAAATATCGTAATAGAAACAATCAAATTATAAAAATGAAATAAAAATTCAAAAAGAAGCAAAATTTTACAATAAATAAAAATATCTTTATAGTCCAAAAACCAACCATGACACGTGTTAAATAAATGCCTTAATCCATGTTATGGAAGATTTCTGGAGATAAAAGTTTCAATAAAATCAATGTGCCATAAAATTGATTTTAAACACCTGCATTTTATTATTATCATTCGAGATAGATCTCTAAGAAATGCATTCCCTTAATTTTATTACATACATGGTCTTTTGTTTTACAAACAAAAAGATGCCGAAGATAGCACTTATATCGCGTCAGCTTAAGTGTTTTGAAACTCTACATGTCAAATCACAGTTTGAAATTCACCTGGTTTATTGTCTAGATGCAGTAGGAGTCTCCCAACAGTTAGTTAATAGACGGAAAAGTTGCTTGAATCAGTAAAATTTAAAATGTCTCTTCCACAAGGAATGAAATGGTACCTTTTGTCATGATCATTTGCTAGTTTGTAAGGTAGCTTTCAAGAACAGAACATAGTATGATTAATTTGACTAATTCATGGCCAAGAAATATCTTAAAAGTACATATTGGTAATCAAAATTCATATAGCTCTCCTCAACAAATGTTATCTTTAAATAAGGCAAAATAAGGCAAGACTAAACGAATGTTCCAGTAGTGTGCATCTCTAGATGCATCATCCATGCAAGTTTAGTCATCAAAGGATTATAGATGCATTGGAATGGACCTGCTCCAAAAAAATCTGGCGACACATATGGAAAATGTAGGAATGGTCAGATCCAGCATCCGAGGCACGTCTAAAGCAGTGTAACGTGTATCATCCATGTACGTTGATCCAGACTTATATGCATATAGTTACTGGGGAATAGAACTCTATGCTCATTCTAATGGAAAATATTGGCTGAAAATGCAGAATCTGAAACATTAACGAACATGTAGTTCTGATTAATAAAGAGCATAGAAATCTGCTCCAAAAATTTTAACCCGGGACGACAACGCCGAGGGTATTACATGTACATCCCCCTTCCAACTTCGTTGAGCAGGAAATCTATGGTCATATATTTATTTCGTGGATACAATACCATAAAAATATCATAACGTGTCCTATACCAACAACCGTACATGTATGTCAGTCATCCTACATGTAGTTGTGGCAAAATTGTGCCATTCTAGAACGTTTGAGTGGAATGGACTACAAATTAAAAGATCGCGGTTTATGAACTATCCCAACCCGGGGAGTGGGGGGATAATTTGGGTAGCTATAAAAAATTATTTGCATTCAAGAAATGTTTATTTCCAATTAGTATTTCATAAGATGTTGTCATTGATTAAATAAAGCATACTAGCTTTTTTCTTTACTAAATGCGTTATCCCTCTAAAAGCATGGTACCTGTAAATGAACCATATATTTTGCTCATAATCTTGATACTTTGTTTATCTTTCAACGGTCCATGACAGTATGACCCAAACATGGATGTCGGGGTGCGAAGATTTGAAACTGACATTCCAAGGCCACATAGGACTGTTAAGGATCGTTGAAATGTAAATAAAGTTAACAAGATTGGGAGTACAATATGTGGTTAATAAACGGATACCATGCTTTTAGCGGGGGAACACGTATAACACAAGAACATGATACCCATAGCGTGCGACAAAAAAGCGTCGCCGTAACTAAATCGAAAGTTTTAACAATGCTTGGATTTGTAGCTCTCTGGTTTGTCTGTCCGAATTTTCTCAACCAGAGAGCTACAGTTCTGCAGCTAGTTACACACGTAAATTTTGAACATCATCGTACATGTACATTTCTAGATATATGCACAGTGGCTGAGAATCCTGAACCTGGTGTTCCATATCAAATTGAACCCACGGCAAAAAGTGTCGACATACCACTATGTTTTCTCGATATGCACATATGCTGAAAATCGGAAACTAATAAAATTAATTTGATTTTAAAAAGATTACCAGAAACATATTGTAACCTTTTTCAGTTTTCAGCAACGTCCGTTGTTTCTCTCCTATTTAATTCTCTTAACCTCTAGTTAATTACAAGTGTAGCTATGTTCTTTTGCTTAGAGAAGTAGCATATGTTATTGATTGAAAAATAGGACCGACGCTACGGACAACCAAACATTTTTTGAAACCACTGTTTATCTAAAGATAATGATTTTTTTTATTCAATTCATTAATTTTCCGAGGAGGGACAGTCAACCATTTTGCCTCTATAGCACTAGGTGTTCTGTGGAGCGGTGCTAGCAAGAAATTGACCGTTAAAGTTCTTTTTACTGAATTTCACAAATATTTGAATGATTATTGGTAAACCAAAGTCAGTGTTACAATGCTAATTGATATCGACGCGAATTGCACATGTAGTAGCCCGAATTATGATTGTAATTCGGGCTGTTATGTATATTTTTATAGTGATCGAAATTTAATGTCCTATAATAGATATTTATCATTAGATTCCTATTTCTTTGGGTGTATATTGTTTAGTGTAAAGTGATAACGAAGCATATTGTAGAATCTAAATTTTGATTAAATTTTGGACTGGGTATTTCTGTGAAAATTGCACGTCGCGTTGTATAATGCATAAATATTATTAGATTCCCCCCTTCTTTGCGAATACACTTGGCTCTGCATGTTACATTATTCAAAGATAAATCTTGATTTACGTCCTGAATTTGATATGCATAAGGTATATGTAACTTCTTCACAATGTACTCACGCAAATGAAAAGAAAAAATAAACCTTACATTTAAAGTCACGGGGAATGGAAATCACTTCGCTGTAAGCGTCAATTCATTATAAACGTGTTCGTTATAAGCGTGTTTTACTGTATATTAACACATCCATATTAAGAAACGACAACTAATATCACGATCGAATTATAACGGTGTGTGCAATGTTTGCTTACGTCAATTTCGTTTCAAAAAAATATCCAACTCTGCAGATATTGTTTGTGAAAAATTATCAGACGACTCGTCTTCACCTTCATCTTGGCCTGCTTTTCTCCATTTCGTGTTAAATGGTAATATGTATATTTTTTTTCCTAGAAGAATTTTCAAGACACGTTGGCTTATCAGCCTTCGGGGAGTGAACTGGAGTGTCATCACGGCATTGAGTGACATTACCGGCTGCTATATATCAGAACTAGTGAATCTGCAATGGAAAAAAGTATCTGAAGCTTCAGAAATAAGACAAGATCTTCAATTCTTTCTTCATTCTTTACGTGTTACAGGTAGGATCATTTTTCATCTTATTTTATTTTTATCAGATATTGTTTGTGTTGAGGCATGATTGACGCTCATCTATTTTCTTTGAAAACTTGAATGGCAAACTTAAATTCTTTTCCCTTGGGCTAAAAATTTTTTCTGAAAGACAGTTATTGGAATGTTGAACAAACCTTAATGATTTTTGTTTTGTTTTATGTTCACTCTTGTTTTTCCTTTTACCTAAATTATTGTTAGGATAATAGTGTAGCTATCTGTGTTATAATATATACAATTTAAAATGTCTCCACATGTACTGATAAAGGTGTCATGTTCTAATTTTGAATTTATCGGATGGGAGTAAATTCAAAATTTAAAACATGAAAAAGGAAGAGAAAGACAGGTGAAATCTTAATGATCCAAACACTTATTAAACTGAGTCTTAAAATATCACAGCGATCAGGTTTTATTTTATCTTCCTACCCCAAATTTTAAAGGAAGAGAAGGAATTACGAGATGTTTGGTTTTATAAATGTACCTTCTTTTTTTTTTTTTTTTTTTTTTAACTGAAAACATTATCTGAGGTAAAAACAAATTACCGATTTTCTTTTTAAACTATTACATAACAATGAATAAATTTCAATCACAAAAGATGGAGTACATTGTATAGTGTAAAAAAATGGCAGATATATAGCAGATGTATTTTTTATAGAAATGTTGCTCACTTTCAAATGTCATGCAGTAAGAAGAATCAAAATTATTTTTCCAGTCTTACACGTACCCAAAGAAAAATTCCACCAGTTTCGATCAATTATACTCTTTGTTTCTATTTTTGGCAAACGATGTTCATGGATCCAAGTCAGGCAAGGACATTTTAACCACGCCATCAACAAAACATTTCTCTTTCACATCATTCAGAATTGATAAATCTCTTGGAACGCTTGAAAGGTGATTCGGAAGAATTAAGAATTCTTTCTGTAAATTCATTTTTTTTTTATCTTTTGTTAAAATTTACTCAATTTTAAATACACATATTAGCTGAGGTATTTGAGAAATCAGTTAATCAAAATATCAACTAAATGAGGCATTATGAATGAAGTACAACACATTTTCAAGATTGAAGAGATCTTTTGACTTAGAAATCTCAGATAGATTTCGATGAATTTATCCAATGAATTTATCCACAAAATCAATAAAGGATAAACTTTGATTGGAAGAATGTTCATGAAGAACATGCCCAGATGAGTATTGAAAATTCCATTAAGATATGCTCAAATTTAAGTGCTTAAAAGTACATGCAAGCGAAAACCATTTCTTCTCTCTATAATGAAAATTGCACAAAAGGAGATTGTCTCCAAGAATATTTTCTTTTATAAAGCCTATTAGTTGTTGATTGTGCCTAGAGCATATTTAAGTCATATTTTAGTGTGTATATTTATATTATGTCATATTTAGGTGTTCATATCAGGCCCTTTGGAAGCAATTTTACTTTGAGGGGGCACAGCCATACATTTTCAGTTGGGGGGGGGGAATATCAAGTACCAAAATTCCTTGACAAGCTATAAAAAAAGGTCACCAGGCGTTATTGTTGAGGAAGCACGAGCTTATACTAGCTGTTTTCAATGGTATTCTATATATCGGCAAAATTATTGCCCCCCTCCCCCCCCCCCCCGGGTCCTACGGCCATGCATATTTACATTATATGTAAAATTTCGGTGTACATTCTCATGTCATTTACAGGGGTTTCTATTCATGTCATATTTTAGGTGTTTATATTTATGTCAATCTTAGGTGCTTATTTTCATTAAGCATAACAATGGAAAATTGTCACAGGTGTTACAAAACTCTTGAATAACTAAGCTTCCCAAACTTAAATAATGCAAGTAAAAATATAAATTTATATCTATTCTATCATCAGCCTAGATTTTTTTAAGGTCATTAAAAGTAAAAATTCTCGTATTCAATTTTCTATCATTTTATACCAGAGAACAGAATGATTCATTCAATTCTTGTTAATGTTTACAGAATGGGAAATTTTCGTTAATTTTTTAAATCAATTTTTCTCTAATAATTTTATTTCCTTTCAATTTTAACGATATTTCTATACAAAATAATATCCAAACATTTCATCTAATTTGTTTCTAATAGCTATAGACTGCATGAGTTTTAGCACGGCGGAACGTTTTGGCAGTTGATAAAACTGAGATGTTTTTGCTTTAAAAAAGAAGAAAGTAATCACAACTTATCTATCTGTGCATCACGGGAAGGGCATCTTAAATCTACTTTCAAATTCATGTAAATTTAAACAAAATTTAATTATCCATAATTTTTTAAGGCAAAAATTCTTACTAATATGACTTGTAATTTAGAAAAACTATTTATAAGGCTATGAATTAGGACGTATTATTTGTGATGGGATCCTCAGTTCCAACTCATAAATGCTCAGTTGTGTAACTATATATGCGAAATAATGATAATAATAGGTCTTGAAACCCTGCTGATTCAGGAAAACTTTAAGGATATATTTTATCGCCTTGCTCAATCTTCAAACGCCAGTCACGTATTAGTCAGCAGGTTTCACTAATTCCAGTCACCGAGTGTGATTTCAGAAAATAAAAACTATTCATTTGTTACGTATTTTAAATCCGTGGATTTTTTTTCTAACGGAAAGCTTAAATAACTTTTTGCTTTAATTGATATATACGTAACTGTCAAAATATTATGCTTATACAACTTCACTTTTAAAATTGTTGTATTACAATTTATACATAATTGTCACCCTAACAATAATGTGCATTTATACATGTAACTCGGAATTGAAAAAGCATTCTCTTGCCTAAAAAATAAGAGTACAAAAAAAAACAACAAACAAAAAAAAAACAACAAACAAACAAACAAACAAAACACCGAAATGTAACGTTAGACATTACTCGAAGTATACTTTCTGGCAAGCTTACTATTAGAATAAGGTCAAAATCTAGGAAATGAGTTTAGACTGTCTTTATGGTGCTAGATCCATTATAACGTCATAATTAATTTAAAATTAATTTATCACGGTTATAATTAAATAAAGTAATAATGTAGAAAATGAAGAATTTTCATGGAATTCAATTTGAAATCATGTCAAAAGTAATCCCGATACCGACATGTACATCCACTTTCGTGTCGTTTTAAAGAAGAAGTCAAGAACATACAATCACCTTTTTCTGTAGACAATCTGGATACATTTCCTTTGTCTTATATGGGAAAGACTCACATATACCCGCGGTATATATTTCTCAAATGCTTGCATACTTGTTATATTAATCTTGAAATTCGCATCAACTACATGCATATTCTGTGTATCATTCAGGAAGTGATTTTAGAAAACAGAAAAAAAATCTATATATTTTCATTAGCACAATATATGTTGTTAATTCTGATGATTCAGTTTCCATCACGTACACCTCATACCTCAAAATATTCGCAAAATGTCAGAGAGCACACGTTAAATCGCTTACATTTAAGTAAATGATACATGTACATTGTGAACTAGGAAGGTACAAGCCTCCATACCAAGGTGTGATCCACATAACATTTAATATAGATTTTCTACTAATATTTAACAATATTAGAATGGCATTAGATAGTCTTGATTTAACACCATACTGACCTAAGTCCTTAGTATCTGAAGCTATCATACAAGATATGATTACGTACACTTTTTAATCTCTATATATTTATAACAATGTTATAATCATATTCTGAAAGTGTTACAATGCTGAAGTGTCGATAAGCTATAATTATAGATACATGTATATACGTACAAATTAAATTCCAGATTCGCAGTATATATATTGCATTTTGCGTGTTTCGTACATTGTAAAGTGATTTGTTTCATAATATCCATCGTCACAGCTGTGTTATTAATAAATATTTCTGAGTTTGTTACGTACGTTGCCTTGGTGTATATTGTATATATCCTTTTCTTCCTCATAGTACTATAGATTCCTTATTTTACGCGAGTACTTTATAACGCGAAATGGCCGTTACACGTCAAATCGCGAGAACAATAATTCGCAAATAGACCTTTGAACTAGAGATTTTACATGTATTTCAGAACCGCAGATACTTGTGGACAGGAGCCCCCCCCCCCCCTCCCCCCTATTAAACCCCGGGGCTTGTTGGACATTCTACCATTTGTACCATAGGAAGAAATCGTGAAAACCCCAAAATAATCGTTCCACACAAAAATACCCCACTATACATGTACATTATAAGAGACAATGTTTACAAACCTGGAAGGATTTGTATGGTTGAATGACGAATGTATGAAATTGATCTATCATAAATATCCGATCAGCAGTCAGGCATAGTCTCTCTTATAATGTATAGTGGGGTAGTTTTGTGTGGAACGATTATTTTGATGAATAATTATTATGATGTACACATGATGAATAAGTGCAATAAATATAATTTGTGAAAAAAGATGTCCAACAAGCCCCGGGGTTGAATATAGGGGGGGGGGGGGGTCCTATCCACAAGTACCTGTGTTCAGAACCATAAAAATAAAAACGAATAATTTCATTTCGCAAGAGGTGCTCCTTGCAAGAATAATTGTTAATTAAGTGTGGTAATCAGAAAAGGACTGCTGCCCCTCCCACACCTTTTTTGTTGAAGTTCCCTTTTCTTTGGCTTCACGTTTTATCATCAACTTTTCAAAATCTCACCCTAGGTGGAGCTTAGATATTCTTAAAATTCAGAAACGAGGCTATTAGTGAACATCAGAGCATTCATTCAAAAATGGAGTTTTCAATTTTAATTGTTTGCCTCTACTAATTATCATCTGAGAAAAAAAGTCAATCTTTGGGTTTCCAATTTGTTATGACTTACGAAACATACATGTATATAATTTAATTTTGTTTGTATTCTAGCCTGTGATTGGTTAATATCCAAAAAGGAACACAAATTATTTCTGTATAACCTGGTTTGGTATGGGGACACACACCCCTGACAACCAGCTGAATCATCTGTATCCATACAATCCTCT